CCAACCACATCAGATACGGAACTGACTGTATTTACGGAAACTGGGCGCGATAATACTGGTCGTTGATCGTCGATCATTGTCTCATATTGACTAGGAGTTCGAGCAGATTGTGAGAGGGCAGTATAATGAGGTTCATCAAAGGCAGATCGAGCTTGGCGAAGCTCTTCAAGTATCTATGAAATTAATGAGTTAGTTGCATTATTATAATTATAACTTGTACTTTATAATCATTATAATAAATGTACCTTCTCATAATATTCAATTTGTCCATCCAAATACTGTTTTGTATTTTCCTGGAAATCTTGAACACGCTCTTCATGAATTCGGTCCACTTCTGCAAGAGTGACATTGAATACTGTGTCACATCGAGAACGAATTGTTTCACCATCTATGTCCTTAATAATAAATATATGAATGTATTAGAACATTCCTTTATATTATTTATATAAATTTAATCCAAAAAAAAACTTACCCCTAAGTGGTGTAAACTTTCATTTTCTTCCGACACATCTTTGAACTTTTTGTAAGCACCCATATGCATATCTACTAAAGCCTACAAAATTATTATAACATATATATATCATTTTGCTGAATAAAGAAAAAAAAAGTCAACTTATACATCATGATTACCTCGCAATTACTAGATGGATAACTGTATTCTCTTAAACTTTCGATCCATGGAACGACTGTTTCTTTTGCCTAATAAAATACATTAAAATCATAATTAAGGCAAGAAATATTAACATTAATGTAAATATTTATAATCTAATATTTACATATAATTCATATAAATCTGCTATTGTTTGCATGCTTTCAACAGTGGATTGGAGTGCCTTTGTAAGACTAAGGCAAGCTAAAATAATAATAAAGAAATAACTAAAATGTTATAAATTAAATAGAAAGCAAAATTATAAAATATGCATTTGATTAAAGTACCGTGACACCCATCCCTCCAACACCAGGCACCATCCTCGTTTGTAGATTCAAATCCATCATCAGCATTATGACCCGTGATGAGCCTTAACAAAGCAAAGCTCACTCTGCGATATTGGCGTTGCATTTCTATATGAACCAAATTATGTAAAAAATTTTTTTTAAAAAAAAATTGATACACGAAAGAAGTATTATTCATTACCATAAATAGAATCTTTGTGTGCTTGTGAAGCCTCGTTTATCCAAGGCATTAATTTTTCCATGGCACGTGCATGCGCTTCAAACCGTTCCATTGTTTCAATATCACTATATAGAATATTTTCAATAAACAAGCGAACATTTAAACAAAAATATTTGATTTCAAGTACTTACCCATCGTCCACATTAAATTCAGGATGATAAACGTGTTGAAAAAAAGTGTTACCAACAATTCTCTCAGCTTCAAATTGTTTTTCACGCTTACGCCATTCCTGAATTCAAAAAGAATATTTTGAGATGCATTAATATTAAACATGATTTGTAGTAAAATGTTTATCTATATCAACACATACCGATTCGTCTTCACAACTTAAGAAATGTGTTAATAAATCTGAATATCGAATAACAGGGTGACGAGCCAAACGATTGATAAATCGCTCCAACGCACGACGACGTTTTTCTATAAATCCCTCGTTGAAACGTCCGGAATATTGTTTTTCTGGTAGGGGTGGAAGAATAAGCGCACCGAATTTAGAAGATAAACAGTTATATAACCACTCAAAGTGACTGAATCTCCTTTCAACAGTAACTTGAACACCGTTCGCAAACTAAAAAGGTAAAGATTTTAATCAATATACAGAAAGAAAATATCAAAAAAAAAGAGGGAGATTTACCGATGATGTGACATGAAATATTGTGTACTCGGATACACCACCGAGTTTTACGCGCTTCTCTGGATGATGAATTAAAACTTTGAAAATAGGTGCTTTCTCTTGCCAACTTGGACCGCTCTGTAATAACAAAAGGGATTGGTAAGTTGATTAATTTGCAACTAAAATTAATGATTATCTTCTTTACGTAGGTAGCATTAAAAAATAGTTCATGCCTGAATAAAATGTTTATCTGATTCTGTAATTTCATCTTCACTACCTTCTTTCACATGGACAGGACTATTATTATCTATTAGCGGCTCTCCGCCATTTAAAATAAATTCCTCAACACCCGTAGTGACAAACCAGCTAAATCGATTTAATTGTCTTCTGCCCAACATAGTACTGCTACGAGGACCATTAGATGACAATACTGTAGATGAATCCATGGAATCTTCAGATATATAAGAACATGTAGGAGAAAGGGTTGCATTAGGAAGTCCAGTGAATTCAGTAGTATACTATAATATAAATTAAGTAATAGTAAATAAAAAAAAATAATAACCTCAGGAATCCAACAAATATACTTACTGTTATATAAGCATCAGGAACAAGTCCTGTTTTACCATCCTTTTCAGCCAACGACCATCCTTCAGCAAGGCGTTCTTTTAAAACATTAAGCACGTCACCAGCTTTAAAAGACAATTCTTGAACAGTTTCACCCTCAAAGTTATATAAAGCTCTAGCCTGACGACCAGCTGGCAGGGAAAAAACTTCAGAAGCTCTTGGAGTTCTGTCGTCTACAATTTCCTCATCGTTCCCGTTGGATGATACTGGAGAAGCTGGGGGTGGCGACTCAGTCATTTGTTCTTGCGAATAAGTTGTAGAAGTTGA